CGAGATCTTGGGCATCTTGTTTCACCTTTTAATTCCTGTTTCTTCATCTGTAAAATGGGTCAGGTGTTAGAACTGGAACGAAGTTGGCCAGGCGCAGCAGCTTACGCCTGTAATGCAAGCACTTTGGGAGGCCGAGGCAGGTGGATGGCTTGAGGTCAGGAGTTCAAGACCAGCCTGGGCAACATACGGAAACCCTGACTCTACTAAAAATACAAAAATTAACCAGGCGTGGTGACGTGCACCTGTAATCCCAGCTACTCGGGCAGCTGAGGCACAAGAATCGCTAGAACCCAGGAGGCGGAGGTTGCAGTGAGCTGCGACTGCACCACTGTTCTCCAGCCTGGGCCACAGAGTGAGACTGTGTCTCAAGAAAAAATAAATAAGTAACTGGAAGTAAGTTGAGCTCAGGTCTGGTCTTTTCCAAAGATCTATTATAGTGGTGACTACCCGTGTATATAGACATAGAGGAGACAGAGATGATAGCCGAATGATAACAAAAACAGTATTTATTAATCACTTACTGTATTCTAGGCACTATTCTAAACAGTGTAGATGGATTTATTTGAATTCTCAAGTTTTCCTGAGAGATCATACACAGAGTGAAGATCCTGACTGTCTTGTTTAGTGTTATATTTATCTTTCTGTTTTTTTTTTTTCGAGACAGAGTCTCGCTCTGTGGGCCAGGCTGGAATGCAGTGGCGCGATCTTGGCTCACTGAAATTTCTGCCTCCTGGGTTCAAGCAGTTTTCCTGCTTCAGCCTCCCAAGTAGCTGGGACTATAGGCATGTGCCACCATGCCCAGCTAATTTTGATATTTTCAGTAGAGATGGGGTTTCACCATATTGGGCAGGCTGGTCTCGAACTCATAACCTCATGATCCACCCACCTTGGCCTCCCAAAGTGCTGCGATTACAGGCATGAGCTACCTCGCCCAGCCATATTTATCTTTCTTTCTTTATTTTTTCCCCATCCCCTCCTCCCCCTATTTTTAAAAAGTGGTTTTAATTTTTCTTTTTTTTTTTTTGAGATGGAGTTTCGCTTTTGTTACCCAGGCTGGAGTGCAATGGTGCGATCTCAGCTCATTGCCACCTCTGCCTCCTGGGTTCAAGCAGTTCTCCTGCCTCAGCCTTCTGAGTAGCTGGGACTACAGGCGCAGGCCACCACGCCCAGCTAATTTTTCCATTTTTAGTAGAGACGGGGTTTCACCATGTTGACCAGGATGGTCTCGATCTCTTGACCTCGTGATCCACCCACCTCAGCCTCCCAAAGTGCTGGGATTATAGGCGTGAGCCACCGTGCCTGGCCTTGTTTTAATTTTTCACTAGAGACAAGGTCTCGCTCTGTTGTCCAGGCTGGTCCTGAACTCCTGGCCTCAAGTGATCTTTCTGCCTCAGCCTACAAAATAATTCTGGGATTATAGATGTGAGCCACCATGGCCAGCCCATTGTTTTATTTCTGATGCTTGGAATAGTACCGGTATGCAGTAGGTACTCAGTATGTATATGAGTAATAGTGAGGATTTACCAAGTATCAGGCAGTGTATTAATCCTCACAATGACCAGATGAGATATTTGGATCGTCATCTCCATTTCCAAGATGAGCAAACAGCAGCAGGGGTTTAGTTCATTTAAGCCAAGCTCACAGAACTAGGAAATACACTAAGATTTGAACCCAGGCAGTTGGGCACTAGCCTTAATCACTGTCCTGCCTTGCTATTTGCTCCTTGATGCAAAACCCTGGTTTTTTCACTTGTGAAATCACATAGAGCCCCTCCCCTGGCTCATGCCTCTCATCCCAGCACTTTGGGAGGCTGAGGCAGGAGGATCACTTGAGCTCAGAAGTTTGAGACCAGCCTGGGCAACATAGCCAGAACCCATCTCCACCAAAAATTTTTGAAAAATCAGGCGAATTGGCCGGGCGCAGTGGCTCACGCCTGTAATCCCAGCACTTTGGGAGGCCGAGGCGGGCAGATCACGAGATCAGGAGTTCAAGACCAGCCTGGCCAACATGGTCAAACCCCATCTCTACTAAAAATACCAAAATCAGCCGGGCCTGGTGGTGTGCGCCTGTAGTCCCAGCTACCGGGGAGGTTGAGGCAGGAGGATCTCTTGAACCGAGAAGGCGGAGGTTGCAGTGAGCCAAGATTATGCCACTACACTCCAGCCTGGGTGACAGAGTGAGACCCCGTCTCAACAAAAAAGAGAAAGAAAAATCAGGCGAGTGTGGTGATGTGGGCCTGTAGTCCTAGCTACTCAGGAGGCTGAGGCAGGAGGATCGCTTGAGCCTGGGAGGTCAAGGTTGCAGTGAGCTATGGTTGCATCACTGCACACCAGCCTGGGGAAAGAGTCAGAGCGAGACCCTGACGTAAACAAAACAAAACAATAGCAACAACGACAAAAAAACTCAGAGGGAATTGTGTTTTCCCGTCTGCCTGTCTCCATTGTTGTAGGGAAGCCCTGAAGAAAATGAAGGATGTCTATGAGAAGACACCCCAGATGGGGGACCCTGCCAGCTTGGAGCCCCAGATCACCGAAACCCTGGGCAACATTGAACGGCTGAAATTGGAGGTGCAGAAGTATGAGGTCAGAAAAGACCCTGGGGAGGGGTGGGGGCCAGCGGGCCTAGCTGAGTCACTGCAGGGTGGGGTGGGGGTTGGGGACAGGGGAGGTGTTTGGAGCCAGGGGGTGGGGGGGGGTCTCCAGCTGTTTTCCATCACAGCCTTGGCGGTGCCCGAGTGATCTCAGGGATCCTCTGGGGCCAGAGTGGGCTGACCCGGGAGCTCTGTCCTGGAACTGATCTTGGCGGTCCTCTCCTCCCAGGCGTGGCTGGCAGAAGCTGAAAGTCGAGTCCTTAGCAACCGCGGAGACAGCCTGAGCCGGCATGCCCGGCCTCCCGACCCCCCGACTAGCGCCCCACCAGACAACAGCAGCAGCAACAGCGGATCACAGGACGCCAAGGAGAGGTGAGGGGTGACGCCAGAGTGGGTGTGTTCCTAGGGACCCAAGAGGGCACGTCTTTATCAGCCAAATTCTCCCCAAACAGCTCTGAAGAGCCTCCCACAGAAGAGAGCCAGGACACCCCCATTTATACAGAGTTTGATGAAGATTTCGAGGAGGAAGCCACATCCCCCATAGGTCACTGTGTGGCCATCTACCATTTTGAAGGTGAGGACGGCGAGTGGGCTTGTGGGGTGTCTCTGCCTAGGTTCTGTTTAAATCCGTCTAAAGCAAGGCCGGGCGCCGTGGCTCAGGCCCGTAATCCCAGTACTACTTTGGGAGGCTGAGACAGGCAGATCACTTGAGGTCAAGAGTTCCAGACCAGCCTGGTGAACATGGTGAAACCCCATCTCTACTAAAAATACAAAAATTAGCCGGACGTGGTGGCGCATGCCTGTGATCCTGGCTACCTCAGGAGGCTGAGGCAGGAGAATCTCTTGAACCCGGGAGGCGGAGGTTGCAGGGAGCCGAGATCGTGCCATTGCACTCCAGCCTGGGTGACAGAGCAAGACTTGATCTCAAAAATAAAAACGAAATAAATTTGCCTAAAGCAGATCTAAGCCTCCCCCCACCCCCATGACAGGGTCCAGTGAAGGCACCATCTCCATGGCTGAGGGTGAAGACCTCAGTCTTATGGAAGAAGACAAAGGGGATGGCTGGACCCGGGTCAGACGGAAAGAGGGAGGCGAGGGCTACGTTCCTACCTCCTACCTCCGAGTCACGCTCAATTGAACCCTGCCGGAGGCGGGAAGAGGGGGGCTGTCGGCTGCTGCTTCTGGGCCGCGGGGGTGCCCCAGGACCTATGCACTTTATTTCTGACCCCGTGGCTTCAGCTGAAACCTGTGTAACCTGCTGCCCCCTCCACCTCCCCACCTAATCCCACCTGTTACTCCAGATGGACCCGCTGTGCCTTCTTCCACCATCGTCCCACCATTGATGTACATACTCATGTTTTACATCTTTTCTTCCTGCTGCTCGGCTCCGGCTATTTTGTTTTATACAAAAATGGAAAAAAAATTAGTTATCTAAAGTTCCTGGAGTCAGTGCCTTATTAGAAGATTTACATACTGGGAGTGGAAGTATCTTAATGTCACGTTTCTTACAGGCCACACACACAGGGAACAAGAAAGGGCAGGTGCTCTTGGGTATATCTTGGGTCAGCCCTGCCCCTTTCTGGAAGTTGGCTTTATGTCATTGTCAGTGGGTGCCTGCTTGTGACTCAGGTAGAGAGAAGGATACCAAGTTTCTTTTCCTTTTTGAGACAGTGTCACCCAGTTGCCCAGGCTGGAGTGCAGTGGCATGATCTTGGCTCACTGCAGACTCCACCTCCCGGGTTCAAGCAGTTCTGCCTCAGTCTCCCAAGTAGCTGGGGTTACAGGCGCACACCATAACACCCAGCTAATTGTTTTCATATTTTCTGTAGAGGCAGGGTTTTGCCATGTTGGCCAGGCTGGTCTTGAACTCCTGACCTCAAGTGATCCATCCACCTTAGCCTCTCAAAGTGCTGGGATTATGGGCATGAGCCACTGCACCCAGCCAGGACACCAAGTTTCATCCCTTCTGAATGCACTGCAGCTTCTGAGAATGGGTGGCATTTATTGAGCACCTACTGTGTGCCAGGCATTCTCCTCCCCCAGTCTCATTCCTGCCACAATTCTTAGAAAGTACACGGTCTTGGCTGGGCACGGTGGCTCTCGCCTGTAATCCCAGCACTTTGGGGGGGCCAAGGTGGGCGGATCATGAGGTCAGGAGATCGAGACCATCCTAACATGGTGAAACCATGGTGAAACCCCATCTCTACCAAAAATATAAAAAATTAGCTGGGCGTGGTGGCAGACACCTGTAGTCCGAGCTACTCAGGAGGCTGAGGCAGGAGATTTACTTGAACCTGGAAGATGGAAGATGTGGTGAGTCAAGATCGCACCACTGCACTCCAGCCTGAATGCAACAAAGAGAGATGCCGTCTCAAAAAGTAAATAAATAAATAAAGTACATAGTACCAACTTTTACATTTTTAAAAAGTTTTTTATTTTTAAGTTTTTGTAGAGCTGAGGTCTCACCATGTTGCCCTGGCTGCTCTTGAACTCCTGGCCTCAAGCCAATCCTTCCTCCTCGGCCTCCCAAAGTGATGAGATTACAGGCCACGATTTTAAGTTAAAGGCAGGTTTTAAGAGGTGGAGTCAGAGTTGAACTCTGGCCTCGGATGCCAGATCTGCAGTTCACATGTGCACGGTGACCCAGATGGCCTTCACTGTGCTCCCCACCTCTTCTGCGAGGCGCAGGGCAGGTTTCCACCTGAGGACGTGAGGATCCTGGGACGACTCCCTTGGTCTCTTCTGGGGTTCACAAAAACTGGGGGGCCCGGGTGCGAGGAAGAGGGTCAGCGTTCTCAACGGTCAGGCTCCAGGCGCAGCGACAGGACGCCGAGGACGCGCTGGAACTTCTCAAAGCGTTCAGCGCGCGGAGCTCCCGCGCCCCGGCTACCCCAGAGCAGCCTCCGCAGGAAGCGGGTAGTCAGGGCCTCGCTCAGCTCTGGGTTAGGCCGGAATCCTGGAAGCAAAGTCAGGTGGGCTGGGGGCGGTTGCAGACGCCCGCCACGCCCCTCTCCCGCCAACCCCATCTCGCACCTGCCTTTCCCCTGAGGACTTTGACCCAACGCGGGCCCGGGAGGATCTTGCCCCACCTGTGGGATGACTGGGCGGGGTCAGAGGGGAGTGGGCTCCCAGGTCTCTGCAGGAATGGGGGTGGGGGGCGCCTGAGGGACTCTACCAGTGTGCAAGGGGATGGCCTGTTCCAGGTGCCAGATCCTGGGGGTCCAGCATTAGGGGTTGTGCCTGGAGGTGGGCTCCCCCAGGCGCGGGATCCCAGGTTGCCCGGGGAGGTGGGGGATCTCGTCGGCTGGGCTACCCTAGGATAGGAGGGAGGAGTCGTTTTGGAGGGAGCAGGGCTTACTTGGGGATCTAAATCTCTGGGGGCGTGGTCGTCCTAGGTGGGAAGGGGGAGTGGGGACCAGCGGAGGTGGCGCGGGGCAGGACAGCCCGTTTTGAGGTGGAGGGCCCTGTTCTATCAATACCGCTGGATGCAGCGTTTGCTTGGGGGGAGAACCTTCCTGGGGTGGAGCCGCCCCAGTTTGGGTGGGGCTCTGGGAGGAGTGGCGAGAGGCTCCCCTCCTGGGACGGGTTGGGTTGGGGGGGTCCAGTTAGAGCTTGCGGGGTGCTCTGAAGTCTGCAGTCCAACGCAGACGGGACGCTCACCTCGCAGACGCTGGGCCGCCACCTTGCGGAATTTGGGTGCGAGCCGGGCCATCTGACGCGCCCCATGCAGGGTGCGCAGCAGCCGCTCACCGCTCTCCTCCAGCGGCCCCGCGACTTCCTCGACGCCCTCCAGCAGGCGCACCACGGGTGCCACGTGCGGCAGCGCCACCTCGCCGGGGTCGCAGGGTCCTGCGAAGGGGGAGAGTCTGATCTGGGTTTGGGGCTGTAGATGGGGCTTAGGGCGGAGATGGAACCTTGGATACATGCAGGCGCGGGGCTTAGGGCTGAGCGACAGCGGGGTCTCTGGAGAGGGGCCACTACCACAGGCCTTGGATGGAGGGCGGGGTCTATGGCGAGGGGGCGGGGCCTAGGAACAAGTCTCGTGTGGAGGGCGGGGCCTATGGTGAGGGGCGGGGCCTAGGAACAAGTCTCGTGTGAAGGGCGGGATCCAGAGAAAAGAGCACGGGGGAGCCTAGATTAAGATTCCTGTTAAATTTGGTCTGGGACCCGGAAGATGCCATGCCCCAGACCTTCACTCACCAGCGCCCTCATCCAGAGCCCGCATCAGCGGCTTCAGCTCCTGCTCAAAGGCCAGCGCAGCCTCCGTGTGGCTCCTTCGAAGGTGGCGCCACGTGTGCTCCAACCGGGACACCTGGGAGAACAGACCTGCGCATGCCTACTCTCCCGTCTTCCCAGTCACCCGCACTCCACCTTCCTCCAGTCCCTGCTCCCCACGCACCTGGGGCATGAGCAGGGCGCCCATGACCGCAGCCAGCCCGGGCAGGTCCCCCGCCGCCCCTGGCCGCAGCGCCAGCGCCAGCTCTACCAGGCCCCTCAGTGCGGCTGCGCGCTCCTCCAGCGGCCCCGAGCAGCCCAGCACCGCCAGCGCCCCAGCCAGCGCCAGTGTTTCATGCCTGCAGAGGTGGAGGGGAAGGGTCTGGGGGCAGTGGGGCGGTTTGTAATGCAGGGGTGAGGGGGGACAGGAGGTGGGATTGCGCATCTTCCTTCTTCCTTGGGGAGCCATCAATGGAGAGCTGTTTGGAGACCCTGGAAAGTGGGGGGGGGGGGGGGAATTGGCCTCCCCCAACCAAGATTCTAAGTGGCTGGCTCACCTCTCCAGCAGTTCCAACCTCAAGCGATGTCCATGGGGAAGAGTGAGCAGCTCCAGGCCAGATGAGACCCCCATGTTGCCCCGCTGATTCCTGGTCACTCCCAGGAGGCCTGTGGCCTGCAGAAAGGAACGGGGAAGTCAGGTGAAGAGTGATCATGTAGGTGTGGCTGGGTCTTGCCCTGGGCCTAGGGAGGAGCATTCTGGCAGGTGACCCACCTGGCAGTCTACCAATAACAGGTGAAGGGCAGTGCTCCCAGGATGGTGCTCCAGGAACAGGCCACGGAGAGTATGCAGGACTTGGGGTTCCAGGGGCCGATTCTGGGGGCCCAGCAGGCAGGAGGGGGCGTCAGGGGGGCAGAAAGCAATCTCAGTCTGTGGTCTTGTAAAGCATCTGTTCTCTTCCTCCTCGTCTTCCTCGGCCTCCCACCATGGCGCCTCTGGCTCTCGGCAGCTTTGGCTCAGGGATGTTCCCTGGACACGGGGCACTAGCTCGCAGTATGTTGGGGGGCGTTCAGGGACATCAGGCAGTTCGAGGGAGGGTGTCCGGGGGGGCTTCGTTGGTGCCTTGGCTTGAAGCTGCCCATCGGAACCCCTGAGACTGTTGGCAATAGTTCCCAGGGAAGCAGGGGCCTTCAGCAACACGGGCTCACTGCCCGATCGGGGCAAGGCAGATACGGGCATGGTGGAGGCTCCTGGAGGTCATACAAGAGGGGTCAATGGAAATATACAGAGAAGACTGCTGAATGGGCAGGGGTGTAGGCTTCATGGGCCACCATCCACCTGATCCATCCACTCATTCCAGTAATGGCGTATCCCAGCCTAGCGGGGTACAGTTTTGAATTTTAAAAGTCTCCACAGTAGAAATGCCATGTGCTTACACATGGTTGGAAAACACTGACATCTCTATAGTTTTGTAAATTCTTTTCTAAAATTTTTATTTTAATTTATAGAGATGGGATCTCACTGTGTTGCCCAGGCTGGTCTGGAATTCCTAGTCTCAAGCATTCCTCCCTCCTTGGCCTCCCAAACTGCTGGGATCACAGGTGTAAGCCACCTTGCCTGACCTTATGAATTCTGAATAATACATTTTAAATTTGAATTCTTTGTTTTTGCCCCTCCGACTGCAAGATAGCAAGCAGTGACCCAATGCAATTAAATTAAAAAAAAAAAAAAAAAAAAGAGCTGGGCATGGTGGCTCACACCTGTAATCCTAGCACTTTGGGAGGCTGAGGTGGGTGGATCACCTGAGGTCAGGAGTTCAAAACTTGCCTGGCCAACATGGTGAAACCCAATCTTTAAAAAAGAAAGAAAGAAAAAAAAAAAAAGGCCAGTCATGGTGGCTGATGCCTATAATTTCTGCATTTTGAGAGACCAAGGTGAGAGAATTGCTTGAGGCTAGGGATTCCAGAGCAACCTGGGCAACATAACAAGATCTTGTCTCTACAGAAAGTTAGAAAATTAGCTGGGCGTGGTGGCGTGCACCTGTAGTCTCAGCTACTTGGGAGGCTGAGGTGAGAGGATCACTTGAGCCTGAGGCTGCAGTGATTGCACCACTGCACCCCAACCTGGATGACGGAGTGAGATCCTATCTCAGAAAAAACTATTTATATCTATCTATAACTATGTATGGATATCTATATATTTATACAGAGATATATATTATATAAATATATATTTAAATTATGTTATTAAATGTTTAATGCTGCCATATATAATTACATTTAATATAAGATAGATAATAATTTAACTTTTGTGATAATATATATATTTCTCTCCACAGATATATCTCTATAAAATATATAATTAATATAGATATATATAGAGAGAGACAGAGAAAGAGTATTCAAAATGGACAAAAGTAGCCGGGTGAGGTGGCTCACGCCTGTAATTCCAGTACTTTGGGAGGCTGAGGTGGGCAGGTCACAGGGTCGGGAGTTCAAGACCAGCCTGGCTAACATGTTGAAACCTTGTCTCATCTATACTAAAAATACAAAAATCAGCCAGGCATGGTGGCAGGTGCCTGTAATCCCAGCTACTTAAGAAGCTGAGGCAGGAGGATTACTTGAACCCGGGAGAGGGAGGTTGCAGTGACCCAAGACTGCATCATTGCATTCCAGCCTGGGTGACAGAGTGACACTCTGTCTCAAAAAAACAAAACAAAACAAAACAAAATTCACAAAACTATGTATGGTATGACACTCATATAAGTGTTAGAGAAACTAAGCTTATTAAACATTCTTTTATTTTCTTCTTTAAAAAACCCCACGATCCATGTTTAGAACATGCAGCTTTGTTACACAGGCATACGTGTGCCATGGTGGTTTGCTCTGTGTTCCCTCCCCTCACCCTAAACTTTCAAATGATGTCTTTTCTAAGTTGGTGGCATGTTGATCTCCCGGACTATTAGTACTTAAAGCTGCATCAAGATTTTTGGGAGACTGTACTTACCACACCCTTGAATAGGCTCTTTTCTAGGAATTTCCAACCATCTCACAGTTCCCGGCTCCAAAGTGCTCACAGTAGCTGAAAAACCCTCACAATCTGAGCCCCAAGGTCTCTCTGACTCTCCCCTCATTCTCACTGCTTCAGCTACACTTGACTTTCTCTTCTTTCTTTTTTTGTTTTTGTTTTTTTTTTTTTTTTTTAAATTTGAGACAGGGTCTCACTCTGTGGCCCAGGCCGGAGTGCAATGGTGCGATCATGGCTCACTGCAGCCTTGACTTCCTGGGCTCAAGGAATCCTCCTGCTTCAACTTCCCAAGTAACTAGAACCACAGGTGCGCAATACCTCGCCCAGCTACTCACTCATTGTTTTGGTTGAATGAACAGTTTAAATTCTTGTTCTGACCCCAGAGCCTTTGCACCGACTCTTCGTTCTGCCTGCCTATCCCTCCAGTTATCCACCTTCAACCCTTACTCATTTCCTTCACATTTATTTTCTCTTTTCTGCAGTGGAACCTTTCCTGACTATTTAAAATTGCAGTATCCATCTCCATCCTTATACTCCCTATATCCCTTACTCTATTTTTTTGGTTTTTGGGTTTTTGAGACAGTCTCACTCTGTCACCCAGGATGGAGTGCAGTGGCGTGATCTTGGCTCACTGCAACCTCCACCTCCTGGGTTCAAGTGATTCTCCTTCCTCAGCCTCCCAAGTAGCTGGGATTCTAGGTGCGTGTCACCACCCCTGACTTATTTTTGTATTATTATTATTAGTAGTAGTAGAGATGGGGTTTCACCGTGTTGACCAGGCTGGTCTTGAACTCCTGACCTCGAGTGATCCACCCACTGTGGCCTCCCAAAGTGCTGGTATTACAGACCTGAGCCACCTCGTCCTACCCTTACTCTGTGTGTATGTATGTTTGTGTGTGTGTGTTGAGTTTTTGAGACAGAATCTTGCTCTATTGTCCAGGTTGGAAGGCGGTGGCATGATGTCGGCTCACTGCAACCTCTGCCTCTTGGGTTCAATCGATTCTCCTGCCTCAGCCTCCCGAGTACCTGGGATTACAGGTATATGCCACCATGTCCAGCTAATTTTGTGTTTTTGGTGGAGACGGGGTTTCATCATGTTGGCCAGGCTGGTCTCGAACTCCTAACCTCACGTGACTGCTGAGATTACAGGTGTGGCCAACCACTGTACGGCAAGTGATCCACTGGCCTCAGCCTCCCAAAGTGCTGAGATCACAGGCATGAGCCACCGTGCTCAGCCTCGTAAACACATATTTTAAGCACACACAAAGTCCCTGTGTGTTTTAAGTCACCATGATTGTCCTCGTTTTCCAAAGGAGGAAATTGAGACTCCGTCAGGTGCGGTGGCTTACGCCTGTAATCCCAGAACTTTCGGAGCCCCAGGTGGGTGAATCATCTGAGGTCAGGAGTTCCAGACCATCCTGACCAACATAGAGAAACCCTGTCTCTACTAAAAATACAAAATTAGACAGGCATGCTGGTGCATGTCTGTAATCCCAGCTACTGGGGAGGTTGAGTCCAGAGAATCGCTTGAACTTGGGAGGCGGAAGTTGCGGTAAGCCAAGATCACGCCATTGCACTCCAGCCTGGGCAGCAAGAGTGAAACTCCGTCTCAAAAAACAAAACAAAACAAAACAAAAAATGAAAGAAAAAAAGAAATTGAGGCTCCAAGAGGTTTCTGCACCTGCCCAAGATCTCTGAGGCGGTGAATGGCAGAGCAATCCCTGAGCTTCGGCTGTGCTGGTAGACACTCACCCATCCCAGAGGGGTCTTCTCTTGACTGCCCCATGTGTGCCAAATCTGCAGGCTGACTGCTGCTCCACTTCCTCACCCTGGGGGACAGAAGTGGGAGAGACCTGTAGTCCCCACCTAAGCAGAGAGTCCCTCACAAATACCTGGAAAATCCTGTGTCCAGTTACTCTGAACCAGTGAGTCTCAACCAACCAAGGTGATCTACGTCGAGGGGACTCTTAGCAACATGTGGAGACATCTTTAGTTGTCACGACTAGCAGCATCTAGTTGGATGGAGCTCAGGAATGCTGCTAAACATCCTACCATGCACAGGACAGCTCCACCTCCTCCCCAACTAAGAATGTTTGGGCCTCAAAAGTCAACCATGGCCGGGCTTGGTTGGCCACACCTGTAATCCCAGCACTATGGGAGGCTGAGGCAGGCAGTCACTTGAGGTCAGGAGTTCGAGACCAGCCAGGCCAACATGGGGAAACCCTGTCTCTACTAAAAATGCAAAAAATTAGCTGGGCCTGGTGGCTCATGCCTGTACTCTCAGCACTTTGGAAGACAGAGGTGGGTGGATCACTTGAGGTCAGGAGTTTGAGACCAGCCTGGCCAACAGGGTGAAACCCCATCTCTACTGCCGGGCATGGTGGCAGGTACCTGTAATCTCAGCTACTCCAGAAGCTGAGACAGGAGAATCACTTGAACCTGGGAGGTGCAGGTTGCAGTGAACTGAGATAGTGCCATTGCACTCCAGCCTGGGTGACAGAGTAAGACTTCGAGTCAAGAAAAAAGATGAAAATAAGGCTAGGCACAGTGGCTCATGCCTGTAATCCCAAAACTTTGGGAGGCCGAGGTGAATGGATCGTCTGAGGTCAGGAGTTCACGGCCAGCCTGACCAACATGGAGAAACCCTGTCTCTACTAAAAATACAAAATCAGCCAGGTGTGGTAGTACATGCCTGTAATCCCAGCTACTCGGGAGGCTGAGGCAGGAGAATCACTTGAACCCAGGAGGTAGAGGTTGCAGTGAGCCGAGATCATGCCATCGCATTCCAGCCTGGGCGACAAAGCGAAATTCCACCTCAAAACAAAAAACAAAAACAAGAAAAAAAAAAATTAGCTGTGTGCGGTGGTGCATGCCTGTAATCCCAGCTACTTGGGAGGCTGAGGCAGGAGAATTGCTTGAACCTGAGAGGTGGAGGTTGCAGTGAGCTGAGACTGCCGTTGCATTCCAGCCTGGGCAAGAAAGTGAGACTCAGTCTTGAAAAAAAAGTCAACCATTGAGTTGGGAAACCCTGGCAGTGTTGGGTATTCTCCAGGAGATAGGGAGGCTGTGAGTACCTGAGCGGCTCTGTCCAGGCTGGGCCATCCATCAGGGTGTCCTCACTAAAGCTGCGTCGCAGAGGCCCCGGCCGAGTCACGGGCCTGGAGACCACAGCCCCTGTGGCCTGGGACAGTGGGCGCCTGCCTGTCAGGTAACTGTGAACCAGAGCGGGCATGCTAGGGAATTGCTCATCCTCGAGTTGAAAGAGGGCTGTGGGTCGGCCTGGCCGTGGACGCAGAGCCACACGGAACACCTCGAAATGGAGGGCTGAGCCCTGCCAGCGGCAGGAAATCACGGGGTGGCCCTCACGGGACCCAGAGGCACGAACCAGGAAGTCGCCATCTTGCTGAAGAAGAGCTTCAGCTTTCTGTAGATGGAGGACAAGGGGCAGGGGAATTAGGTATGAGCCCAGAGCAGTGGTTAATGGTGGCTCCTTCCACCATCACCCCCACCACCCAAGAAAAGCTACCCCAGTGAAACTTCTGGAGCAGGCAGAGACTGGGAAGCTTCACATTAAGCCCTGTTGCCGTTTCTCCTGGCACCTATGTGGACTGCATTTCCTGGGCTCCCTTGCAGCTAGGGTTGTCATGTGATGAGAACTGGCCAATGGGATGTGGGTTAGAAGGGCTATGGGAAATGTCCAGACCTGGCCCATAAAACCCTGCTGTACAGTCTTACAGTTTCTGTCCCCTGTCTGTCAGCTGGTATCCCCAAAGGCCTGAGGGATGACAGAGCAACAAGATGGACTTGGCTCCTGACTGATTTATGGAGATTTGTATCTCCTCTCCTCAACCACCTTGGACTATCACATTAACATGCTGACTATCACATTAACATGTGTTTTGCTGGTGATATCTTGGGAATGTTTGTTACAGCGGACGCTGATAGATGCAGCATCAAATTTGGTGAATGGACTGGGCTTACTATGCAAATTTGGCTTCAAGAGAAGCCATTCGCTGGATGCTTCCAGATGGGGCCCCTTCTTCTTTTTTTTTTTTTTTTTAATTTTTTCGGCCAGGCGCGGTGGCTCAAGCCTGTAATCCCAGCACTTTGGGAGGCCGAGGTGGGTGGATCACGAGGTCAAGAGATCGAGACCATCCTGGTCAACATAGTGAAACCCCGTCTCTACTAAAAATACTAAAAATTAGCTGGGCATGGTGGCGTGTGCCTGTAATCCCAGCCACTCAGGAGGCTGAGGCAGGAGAATTGCCTGAATCCAGGAGGCGGAGGTTGCGGTGAGCCGAGATCGCGCCATTGCACTCCAGCCTGGGTAACAAGAGCGAAACTCTGTCTCAAAAAAAAAAAAAAAAAAAAATTTTTCACCTTACAAATCTGAAAAACCTTTTTTTTTTTTTTTTTTAAGATGGATTATCTGTCGCCAGACTGGAGAGCAGTGGTGCGATCTTGGCTCACGCAACCTCAGCCTCCTGGTTCTAAGCTGTTCTCCTGCCTCAGCCTCCCGAGTAGCTGGAACTACAGGTATCTGCCAACATGCCTGGCTAATTTTTGTATTTTTAGTAGAGACGGGGTTTCACCATGTTGGCCAGGATGGTCTCGATCTCTTGACCTTGTGATCCAGCCACCTTGGCCTCCCAAAGTGCTGGGATTATAAGCATGAGGCACTGCACCCAGCCCAGGGCCCCTTCTTTTATAAACATTTGCAAGCAGTCTTACGCCAGCTGTGGTGGCTGGCATCAAAATACGGTAGGAAGGGCAGGACACAGCGGCTCACGCCTGTAATCCCAGCACTTTGGGAGGCTGAGGTGGGCAGATCGCTTGAGGTCAGGAGTTTGAGACAAGCCTGGGCAACATGGCAAAACTCTGTCTCTACCAAAAAATATAAAAATTAGCTGGGCGTAGTGGTGTGCACCTGTAGTCCCAGCTACTCGGGAGGCTGAGGTGGGAGAATGGGAGAATCACTTGAACTCAGGAGGCAGAGGTTGCAGTGAGCTGAGATCGTGCCATTGCACTCTAGCATGGCCAGGACCCCAGAGAGAGGCAAAGTAGAGCTGAAGGTGGGGTCTGGGGACTGAATAATAGATGTAGCAGACACACCTGTAGCCCTAACTGTATGTCAACCACTGCTTTAAATGTAAAGGGCATTAACTCCTGTAATCCCTGTAACAAGGCTAAATGGCAGGTAGTATTATCCCCATTTAATTTTTGGCCTTTTTTTTTTTTTTTTTTTTTTTTTTTTGAGTCAAGGTCTCTCTCTCGGCTGCCCAGGCTGAGTGCAGTGGAGCAACCATGGCTCACCACAGCCTTGAACCTTCTGGGCTCAAGCCATCTTCCCATCTCAGCCTCCTGAGTAGTCAGGACAACAGGTACATGCCACCCATACCTGGCTAATTTTTTTTTTTTTTTAGAGACAGAGTTCCGCTATGTTGCCCAAACTGGTTTGGAACTCCTGGCCTCAAGTGATCCTCCTGCCTCAGCCTCCCAAAGTGCTGGGATTACAGGCATGAGCCAACATGCCTGGCTTGCTATCCTCATTTTAAAGGTGGGGAGACTGAGGCCCAGAAAGGTCAAATACCCTGACCAAGGTCACACACAATAGTAAGTTGTAGGGTTTGGATTTGAACTTAGGATGTCTGGGCCAAGATTATGGGATTTAAAACTATTAAGCTGTACTGCCTCTTGTCATTTCATTAGATGCTCAGGGTCCCAAAATTTTGGAGGGTAACAATGGAGTTGCAGATGGGGGTGGGAGACTCAGATTTATTTGTTTGTTTGGCTGGAGTGCAGTGGCACAATTTTGGCTCACTACAACCTCCACCTCCTTGGGTTCAAGCGATTCTCCTGCCTCAGCTTGGACTACAGGTGTATACAATCACACCCAGCTACTTTTTGTATTTTTAGTAGAGATGGGGTTTCACCATGTTGGACAGGCTGGTCTTGAACTCTTGACTTCAAGTGATCTGCTTGCCTTGGCCTCTCAAAGTGTTGGGATTACAGGCGTGAACCACTATGCCTGGCTTGGGAGCCTCAGATTTAGAGGGAAATACCAGGAGGGAGATGGAGTCCAGAGGGAGAGACAGACAGAGCCAGGAGTAGTTTGGGGGACACCAGGACTCTCCTCAATCTCCGTCACCAATCTCAATATCATCCTGAAGAAAGTGATCACTTAAATATAGTGACAGTCCCCAGCCAGCCAACCTTCTAGACAGCTCTCTGCCACCTGTCCCAGTAGACCTTGGCCCTAAGTCCCTCATCCAGGGACCAAGGAGTCCCTGGAAAGTCAAGGGTGTGAGAGGCTTCCCACCAGACGGTGCTGAGGCCCTGCTGTGGGCAGTACCTGGCGGGATAGGGGGCCGTGGTACCAGGGTTGGCCAGCAAGGTCCTCTCCATCCTGTGGCACCTGCATGGAGCTCTTGGGGACAGCGGGTGCTGGGGCTGATGGGGCTGAGCTCTGCACTTTCAACAGGCCTCAGTCTTCCACATCTGTAAAATGGGAATAGTTAGCCTGGCTTCTCGAGTGTCTGGGTCAGCTCCTTCCATCCTCTTATTAATTTTGGAGATAGCTCCATCAAATCTTTTTTTTTTTTTTTTCCTTTGAGACAAGAGTCTCGCTCTGTTGCCCAGGCTGGAGTACAATAGCATGATCCCAGCTCGCTGCAATGCCCACCTCCTAGGTTCAAGTGATTCTCCTGCGTCAGCCTCCCAAATTGCTAGGATTACAGATGTGTACCACCATACCCAGCTAATTTTTTTTTTGTATTTTTAGCAGAGAGGGTTTCACCATGTTGGCCAGGCTAGTCTTGAACTCCTGACCTCATGATCCACCCACCTCCGCCTCCCAAAGTGCTAGGATTACAGGCATAAGCCACCACACCCAGCTTTTTATTTTTTATTTATTGAGACAGAGTCTTGCCCTGTCGCCCAGGCTGGAGTGCAGTGGTGTGATCTCAGCTCACTGCAACCTCTGCCTCCTGAGTTCAAGCAATTCTCGTAACTCAGCCTCCTGAGTAACTGGAACTACATGAGTGTGCCACCATGCCCTGTGTATGGCTAATAATTTAAAAAGCATTTTTAGTAGGGATTGGGGTTTCACTATGTTGGCCAGGCTGGTCTTGAACTCCCTTACCTCATGTGATCCGCCCGCCTCAGCCTCCCAAAGCACTACGATTACAAGTATGAGCCACTGTGCCTGGCTGTGGCTAATTTTTATGTGTGTGTGTGTGTGTGTGTTTGTGTGTTATCCAGACTGGGTGAACATTTATGATCATGTAGCCAGGGAAGGTCTCATTGAGTAAAGTCTGGAAGAGTTTTGGGGGAATGTGCCAGGTGACTCTGCGTGAAAAAACATTCCAGTCAGGGGGAATTTAGCTTACAAACATCCACAACTTCTCGGCAACCTATTTGCACACTCAGAGGTTCTCAGGATAGGTGCAAATCTAACCCCTACTTTTTGCTTTAGAATGCAATGCCAGAAGCCAGGTACAGTGGTTCATGCCTGTAATCCCAGCACTTTGGGAGGCAGAGGTGGGCGGATCACCTGAGGCCAGGAGTTTGAGACCATCCTGGCCAACATGGTGAAACCCCGTCTCTACCAAAAATACAAAAATTAGCTGGGCATGGTGGTGTGTGCTAGTAGTCCTAGTAGTCCCAGCTGGAGTGCAGTGGCGTGATCTCGGCTCACTGCAACCTCTGTCTCCAGGGTTCAAGTGATTCTCCTGCCTCAGCCTCCCAAGCTGAGATTACAGGCATGTGCCACCACGCCCAGCTAATTTTTGTGTTTTTAGTAGAGACGGAGTTTCACCATGTTGGCCAGGCTGGTCTCAAACTCCTGACCTCAGGTGATCCACCTGCCTCCGCCTCCCAAAGTTCTGGGATTACAGGCGTGAGCCACCGTGCCCAGCCTGGGGTTAAGATTTTTAAAAGGTCACATTCTGTAGTAAGGACAGCAAACAGCAATGTTGCCTTTGCAGATCCTTCTATTTTGGAGCCCATACATTTGGTTATCACGGTGATCAATCTTAGACCTCAGACGGTTTGGTAGTTTCCTGATAAGCTCACAGGCCTCAGGGCCAGTGTGTCTCAGGTGTCTGGTGGGGGAGATTTCTCTGGATGGCCAGGAAGATCATCTGTTTCTTAACTCTCCTAAAGGCTCTCCCTGCAGCCACGTCTTCCGGGTCTGGTAGGGTCCTTGGAGAAATTCCTGCCTCCTGAGTCAGCAGGCTGCGGGCCGGAAAGGGGCAGGAAGTTCCCAGACCAGCCCTAGGCGATTTTAGGGGAGGATCGCTGGGCCGGGAGCCCGCAGCTGGCGGGGCGCTGCATACCTGAAGCCAGGTGTGTCTTTGGAATGCCTGTGCACTTCCTGTTTGTCAACTAAACCAGGCCTAGCTGTGGCCTTAGAGTCTCCCAACCCCAATTTCCTGTCTGTGTCTCTGTTAGTGAGAGTGAAGTTGAGTCCATGGCAAGGCTCTGGTTAGTCTGGGGACACAGAGTGGCCATAGGTCAGCCAAAGGCCAACTAAGTCACCCTCCTGACTCTGAGTCCTTTTGGGTATTTTTTTTTTTTTTTTTTTTTTTGAGATGGAGTTTCTTGTTGCCCAGGCTGGAGTGCAATGGCATAATCTCGGCTCGCCTCAACCTCCGCCTCCTGGGTTCAAGCAGTTCTCCTGCCTCAGGCTCGCTAATTTTGTATTTTAGTAGAGACAGGGTTTCTCCATGTTGGTCATGCTGGTCTAGAACTCCCGACCTCAGGTGATCCGCCCGCCTAGGCCTTCCAAAGTGCTGGATTACAGGCGTGAGCCACCGTGCCCAGCCAAGGGATAATTTATTCGGGAACAGAAGAGAAGAAGGGGGTATAATCAGGAAAAGAGGTTGGACCAAGCATGGGGAAAGGGAAGAGGGAATTATTCATGTTCCAGTAGGATCATAAACGTGTACACGTGTGGGGAGGGCCGTGGAGGGTGGGAACCACCAGCACAGACAACATGGACACAGAGGCATGCAGGACTTGCTTCTGACATTGGACAAACACTGACGGAGCACTGGTTCTAGACCCTGGAGATACAGGGAGTGAGGAGATTAAAGCCCTGCGCTGCCCTGCCCTCAAGTGCTTGCGGTTGGCTGGGTGAAACGGACAGCAAAGGAGCACGAGATGAATGCAGAAGACCATTTCTAAGAGTTGACCACGAAAGTGATAAGGAGATGTGATAGAGGAGGCTGGACACGGCAGCCTCTCCTATAAAGTGACATTGAAGCAGAGACCTCAGTACAGAAGGAGGCAGTTAGGCAAAGAATTGGAGGAGTCGCCCGGGTGAGGGGTACTGTAAGTGCAAAGGCCTGGAGGTGAGATGGACTTGCTTTTTATATTTTACATCATCAAGGCGGCTGGTGTGGCTGGAATACAATGAATAAGGAGCAGACAGGAGGGCTTCGAGGTTAGAGAGACCAGGAGGAGAGACCGGGCAGAAACTGGTGGATTTTGGATTTTAATCTCTAGGGGATGGGACGCGAGCCGTGGCAGGGTTGTAAGTGAAGGAGGGGACGGATCTGATTTGCGGTTTAAAAGGATCACTCAGGCAAAAATGGGAACAATGGCTTTCTGTGCTGCACAGGAAATACAGAGGGGCACGCCCAGGTGAGCCGGGTACGCCGACACGCGTGACGCACAGCGACCCAGTCACTCGCAAGGCGATCTCTTCTACCCCAAATCCTCCCTGCGAGCCGGCGGCCCCACTTGGAAAGAGAGGACTCCCCACCCGGATAATCCTGGTTCTAGATCTGCCTTGGGGTTCCACTCACCTGGGCAGGACCCGCGGGGCTCCCACGAGGCTGGGACCAAGCGGAAGCTGAGCCTCTGCGGCTCCAGGCTGCTGTCACCACCCGGCCCTCCACCCTTGCCACCGCCCCAGCACCCCTAGACCGCACCTAGTGGGAACCCAGCCCGGTTACCTGATCGCGCCTCCTGCAGACCCCGCCCCCTGCAGGCCCCGCCTCAAACTAACTTCCCAGGCCCTCGCTCCGCCCCCTCAGAGCAGTTCTTGGCGACTAGCCACGCCCCCTTTGCAACGCCCCGCTTTCCCCATAGACCTCGCCCACTAGGGGAGCACCGCGCAACCTTTCTTGCCAATGGCCCCGCCCCTTGCCCATGGCCGTGCCCGCCACAGAATGACCATGCCCCGCCCACCACAACCACCTCCTTCTTAGCCCCGCCCCTTAGGGAAATAGAGCAAATTTCACCCCAACGTTCCCGCCCCTAAGAACCCGGCCCCTCCCTTCCATCCCGGCGGCCCCAAGCGCCCCTGGCCTTTTTTGGTACCAGGGCTGGGTAGGGTGGGGTGTCTCTCCCCCGCCAAGGCTCCGGATCGGGGCGGGGCAACTCCCTCCTGCTCTCAGGCCAGGCTGGGGCAGGTGCGGCAGCCGTTACGTAAGAGGGGTGAGCTTCCTCCAGACCGCCCTCCTGGATTTTCCGGAAAGAAGCCCCATTTAGGTGGCGGGTTTCGTGGAGAGACGTCCGGGAAAACGCGACAACTTCCTTCAGTGACAGCACGCTGGAGCGGGGCGGGACTTTGGGGGAGGTGGAAGGGAAATCATTCAGGCGGTCTCCTAGATGGAAGGAAGGGTGAGGGGACTTTCATCATGAAGCCTGAGCCTTAAAGAGTAAAGGTGACAGGTACCTAGTGCGAGAGAGAGGATGCTTTGGCCACGTTTATTGAGAGACAGGGTCTTGCGATGTTGCCCAGGCTGGAGTGCAGTGGTATGATCACAGCTCACTCCCACTGTAGCCTCAACCTCCTGAGCTCCAGCGAGCCTCCCACTTCAGCCTTCCAAGCAGCTGGGACTGCAGGTGCACACCACCACGCCCAGCTGATTTTATTTCATTTTTTACAGAGATGGTGTCTTAACTGTGCTGCCAGGCTCTGGAACTCCTGGGCTCATGCGATCTTCCTGCCTTGGCCTCCCAGAGTGCTGGGATTACAGGCATGAGCCACTGTGCTTGGCCCCAGTAACCACAGTCTTAAAAGCAGTTGCAGCAGCTAACATTTATTGAACACTTACTGTATAGCTATTCTGTCAACTTGCCCTCCACCTCTCTTTTTTGAGACGGAGTTTCACTCTTGTTGCCCAGGCTGGGGTGCAGTGGCAACTATCTCAGCTCACTACAACCTCCACCTCCTAGGTTCGAGTGATTCTCCTGCCGCAGCCTCCTGAGTAGCTGGGATTACAGGTGCTGGCCACCACACCCAGCTAATTTTTTGTATTTTTGGTAGAGATGAGGTTTTATTATGTTGACCAGGCTGGTCTTGAACTCCTGCCCTCAGATGATCTGCCTGCCTCAGCCTCCCAAAGTGCTGGGATTACAGGCGTGAGGCCTCTATTTTAATTTTCTTTTCTTTTTTTTTTTTTTTTAAATTGAGATGGGGTGTCACCATGTTGGCCAGGCTGGTATCGAACTCCTGACCTCAGGTAATCCACCCATCTCGGCCTCCCAAAGTGCTGGGATTACAGGCGTGAGCCACCGCGCCTAGCCTATTTTAATTTTCATACAGGCCACCCTGTAAGGGTGGGAGGTAGTATTTTCATCACTTCCACTTTCCAGATGGGGAAACTGAGACACAGGGCAGCTACACCATTTGCCCAAGTTAACCTGGTTTGTAAGTGGTAGAGGTGAGATTCAAACCCAAGGCTCTGGAGCTTCATCCTGTCTGCCTCCCTTTCCATCTTTGCATGCCCACTTTCTCCACGATAGTGCTTCACGGTGAAAGTTATTCACCCACCATTTTACAGATGAGGAAATTGAGGCATAGAGGGCCAAGGATGCTTGGGGATGAAGAGTTTTGATGCCCGTAGGGTTGCAAAGCAGGGAATTACCAGGCTGGGCTCCTCCCACCGGCCCTGGCCAATGTGGAAGAGACTCCTGGCTCAAGAAGGGAAGATTTCTACCTTAACCCCCACCCTTCTAGTATTGGTACAATCAGTGGGTAGCGCCTGTCCAGCGAAGGGGTCTAGCGCCTCCTCGTGGTTATAATAATTAAAAAACAGGGCCGGATGCGGTGGCTCACACCTGTAAACCCAGTACTTTGGGAAGCCGAGGTGGGCAGATCACCTGAAGTCAGGAGTTCGAGACCAGCCTGACCAACATGGTGAAACCCTGTCTCTACTAAAGATACAAAATTAACCGGGTGTGGTGGCATGCACCTGTAATCCCAGCTACCGGGGAGGCTGAGGCAGGAGAATCACTTAAACCCGGGAGGCAGAGGTTGCTATGAGCTGAGATCGTGCCATTGCACTCTAGCCTGAGTAACAAGCATGAAACTCTGTCTCAAAATAATAATTAAAAAAGGAACCCCAAGATGAGGGCTGTGTGTTGGATGGAGCGGGAGGGTCCTGCTTACACTCTAGTTGGGTGGAAGCTGGAGGTGGGGGCAGAGAGACCTAGCCTCGTGAAGAAGATTTCAGCTAATGATACGGTAATTGCTGGGAAGCCAGTAAATGTTTGTTGAATGAATTAATGAAAGACACGTTTGGGCTGGGAGCGGTGGCTCACACCTGTAACCCCAGCACTTTGGGAGGCTGGGGCAGGTGGATCACTTGAGACCAGGAGTTTGAGATCAGCCTGAGCAACACGGAGAAACCTCGTGTCTACTAAAAATACAAAAATTAGCCCCGAATGGTGACACCTGTAATCCCAGCTACTCAGGAAGCTGAGGCAGGAGAATCGCTTGAACCTGGGAGGCAGAGTTCAAGAGGTGACAGAGCAAGACTCTGTCTCAAAATAAAATAAAATAAAATAAAATAAAATAAAATAAAATAAAATTAGCCAGGCGCAGTGGTACAAGCCTGTAGTTCCAGCTACTTGAGAGACTGAGGCTGGAGGATCACCTGAGTCTGGGAGTTCAAGGCTGTGGTAAGCTATGATTGTGCCACTGAGGTCCAGCCTGGGTTGGGATTATGCCTGTCATCCCAACACTTTGGGAGACCAAGGCGGGCAGATCACTTGAGGTCAGGAGTTTGAGACCAGCCTGGCCAACATGCTGAAACCTCGTTTCTGTAAAAGTACAAAAATTACCTGGGCGTGGTGGCAGGTGCCTGTAATCCCAACTGCTTGGGAGGCTGAGGTGGGGGAGAATCACTTGAACCTGGGAGGCAGAGCTTTCGGTAAGCCGAGATCTTGCCACTGCACTCCAGCCTGGGTGACAGAGTGAGGCCCTGTCAAAAAAGAAAAGAGAAGGGAAGGGAAAGGAAAGGGAGGCAAGGGAGAAAGAAGAAGGAAGGAAGAGAGAGAGAGGAAGAAAGGAGAAAAGGATGAAATAACTATGATAAAAGTAAGATTTGTTGGATAAAGATCAGGGCTTAACCTAGGGAAGTGGGGAGGGCCGATGATGTGCAGAAAAGGCTGTGATTTGAAGTCAGGGGGTTTGGGAAGACCTCATGGGAAGGTAGCATTTGAGCAAAGACCTGTGGGGGTGATGGAGCTAGCCATGAAGTTGCCTAAGGTGGACGACACAGCTGTGCAAAGGTCCTGGGGCAGGACCGTATGCTCCTGCACCATGAAGAAAGAGTGAGGAGGCTGGTGTGGCTGGAGCAGAGTGAAGAGCGGGGAGGGGGGGAGGGGAGAACAGACAGGGAGGGAACTGGGCAATTCAAGCAGAGTTTTCTGGGCCTTGGGGAGGACTCGGGCTTGTCCCTTGAGGAAAGTGGGAGCCATAGAGGGTTGTGGGCAGGGGAGGGGTGGGCTCTGACTCAGATGCTCACAGGCAACCTCTGTTGGTGGCTGCAGGGAGGACAGACTTGGGGGGACGGGGGCTGCAGTCAGGAGACCAGGCGAGTGGTGATGGGGCTGGACCAGAGGATGGGGTGAGAAGTGGGTGAATTCTGGGTATATTTCAGAGTGTCACTGTCTGCATATAGAGGAAGCTCGCCCATCTGGTAGTCTAGCTGGCCTGCCTCCCGTAGCCCCCCAATTGCCCGTGCCCAGGCCTGTGTCGAGTGGGTGGACGAAAGAGATGTCAGATTCTGTATGGGGTGGGGCTGGGCTGCAGGTGCTACCCCAACTCCCCCTGCCCCATGGCTCCTCCTCCTCCACCCCCTCTCAGGGCGACAGTTACAGGCAAAGAAGAGGAAGTGGTAGCACTAGCTGTCGCTCCACAGGCGAGCAAGGCGGGCGGGCGTGCAGGCGGGCGGGTGGTGGAGGCCGAGAGGGTGCACGGCCAGCCCCGGGCAGGCAGCGGCCATGGAACTGTGGCGCCAGTGCACCCACTGGCTCATCCAGTGCCGCGTGCTGCCGCCCAGCCACCGCGTGACCTGGGATGGGGCTCAGGTGTGTGAACTGGCCCAGGCCCTCCGCGATGGTGTCCTTCTGTGTCAGCTGCTTAACAACCTGCTACCGCATGCCATCAACCTTCGTGAGGTCAACCTGCGCCCCCAGATGTCCCAGGTAAGGCCTCCAAGGGCAGATGTGCTGAGGGCTGGAGAGGGGGTCCTTCCTGGGGTTGACGTGCTCCACCTCTGGGCCTGCAAAGTAGAGGGGTTATGCTGATAGGTTCCGGGGCTGGCCCAGGGGGTAGTCACAATCTGAGATTATGGCGTGGCCTCCCGAAGCTTCACAGGTCCCCCACCCCATGTGGGTTCACAGGCCCTGAGTTGGCCCAAACTCAGCTGAGAACTGACGAACTAGGGGTTAACTCTCTCAAGCCCCAGGCTGACTCTACTGGGGCTCATGCCCCCAAATGGGACCAACTCGAGGTCCCTGGGGGCATCTCAGAACCCCCAGGGTAGCCGATGGGTTACCTGAAGTTTTGGACTCCTTTGACCCCCCGAGTCTGGCTGTGGGGGAGGGGCCTCCACCAACATCTTCCCCACATGTGTCTCCTCCTCCCAGGCCCTGGGCCCCTTCCTTCCCCTTACATCTTCCTTCCCCCTTGGCTTCCTGCCTGGGCCTGGGGCAACGTGGGGCAGGTGGGGGGCTGCGGCCCCAGGGATCCGAGCTTCCTCCCAGGGGAGACA